ATATGATTATGCTTGGTGGACGAGGTCATGTATCATGTCATGCATCTATCGTCTCCAGACGAAATTTGGAGGAAGTTGGAAAGTCAGTTTATGTCCAAATCCTTAACAACAAAACTGTATCTGAAGCAGCGGTTGTATGGGATGAAGATGCAGGACGATCATGATTTGGCGCAACACGTGAATGTCTTCAATCAAATCGTTTCTGATCTGGCTCGGCTTGATGTGAAAATTGAGGATGAAGAAAGAGCGATGATTCTGTTGTGTTCGTTGCCTCCCTCTTACGAACACATGGTGACTACTCTTACATATGGGAAAGAGACTATCAACGTTGAGGAGATTACTGCAGCCTTGTTGGCTCACAACCAGCGGAAGCAGAATGCAGGGGAAAGCTCTCAAGCTGATAGCTTATATGTCAAGGGTAATCGAGATCGTGGACGGAAGCCAGAGAAGGCAGGGTCGGGGAAGCGGAATTCCAGATCCAAATCCAGGGATAAGAAGACGATTCACTGTTACAAGTGCAAGGAGGCAGGACATATGAAGCGAGACTGTCCGAAGTTGAAAAATCAGACTGATGAGAAGCGTGATGGCTCATCCAAGTCTGTGAACGTGGTCGAGGATGATAATTTTGATTGCAGTGAGGGTGATATGCTTTCTATTTCAACGACACAATTGACGGATGCTTGGATTCTTGATTCTGGATGTTCTTATCACATCACGCCAAATAGGGAATGGTTTTCGACATACAGGCCGGTTAATTCTGGTTCGGTTTATTTGGGTGATGATCGATGTTTCAATATTGTTGGGATTGGTGATGTCAGAATTAAGATGCACGATGGCTCCGTTCGGACGTTGAGTGGTGTTCGACATATCCCAGACTTGAAGAAGAATTTGATTTCCTTGGGCACTTTGCACAAGAATGGTTTATCCCTAAGGCTGACGAGGATAGGGAAACCATTCGGATTGTTAAAGGAGCATTGACTGTGATGAAAGGCAAGATGACTGCAGGGAATATCTACAGATTGTTAGGGAGTACCGTTGCAGGTGGAGTTCACTCTGTTGAGTCCTGTGATGATACGACAAAATTGTGGCATATGCACCTTGCTCATCTTAGTGAACGTGGTATGGCAGAATTACACAAGAGAAACTTGTTGCATGGTGTCAAAAGCTATAAGCTCGATTTTTGCAAGTATTGTGTTCTTGGTAAACAGACTAAAGTCCGTTTTAAGACTGCGAAGCACACAACTCAAGGGATTCTTGATTATGTGCATTCTGATGTATGGGGGCCTTCCACGACATCGTCTTTGGGTGGATCTAGGTATTATGTTACTTTTATTGATGATTTTTTCACGGAAAGTTTGGGTGTATTTTTTGAAACAGAAATCTGAAGTTTTTGAGAAGTTCAAGCTGTGGAAAGCTGAGGTAGAAAACCAAACAGGACGAAAAATTAAGTGTTTGCGGTCTGACAATGGTACAGAGTACACAGATTCACAGTTCCTACAATTCTGTAAGGAGCATGGGATTCAGAGGTATTTTACAGTGCACAAGACACCACAACAGAATGGTGTTGCGGAACGAAATGAACAGGTCGTTGAATGAAAGAGCCAGATGTTTGCGGTTGAATGCGGGGCTTCCCAAACACTTCTGGGTTGAGGCTGTTAACATGGCGTGTTACCTTATCAACAGATCGCCAAGGGCATCGATGGCTGGGAAAGTTGCAGAAGAGGTATGGACTGGTCATGATGTTAGTTTTGATAACTTACGGATTTTTGGTTGTCCTGCTTATGTGCATGTACCTGCTGATGAGAGATCCAAACTTGATGCAAAATCGAATGAGTGCATTTTTCTGGGTTACAAGAAAGGTGTCAAAGGATTCAAGTTCTGGGATCCAGTTGCGAAGAAAGTTGTGATTAGTAGAGATGTTGTTTTTGATGAACAGTCTATGTTGTAGCAGAAGCAAGACACGACAGTGGTGGATTTCGAGCAGTTTCCAGTTGAGAAACCATAAACTTCTCAATCGACTTCTGGTGGTTCCACTACGGATGATTTGCAGGATTATAGTCTCGCCAGAGACAGGGTGAGATGGATGAATATAAAGCCTCCGAACAGATTGGGTTTTGAAGACTTGGTATCTTTTGCACTTATTGTTAGCAGTGATGATCCGGTTACTTTTCATGATGCCGTTATTAGTCAGGAAAACGACAAGTGGATGGCAGCCATGGTTGAGGAGATGGAGTCTTTGAATCACAATCGCACATGGGAGTTAGTTCCCCTTCCTGAGGGTAAGAAGCCGATTGGTTGCAAATGGGTGTATAAGAAGAAACCAACAGTAACAGAAAAAGAGGGGGAGAAGTTCAAGGCTCGTTTGGTAGCGAAGGGTTTTTCACAGTAGAAAGGAGTTGATTATGATGAAATCTTTTCTCCTGTGGTCAGGCACACTTCAATCCGAGCAGTACTTGCATTGGTGGCTAGTTGGGATTTGCATTTAGAGCAGATGGATGTTAAAACTGCTTTTTTGCATGGTGATTTAGAGGAGCAGATCTACATGCGGCAACCTGAAGGTTTCACTCAACCTGGAAACGAGCATTTAGTTTGCAGATTGAAGAAATCTTTGAACGGGTTGAAACAGTCTCCGAGACAGTGGTATAAACGGTTTGACTCCTATATGATCAAGATTGGCTACAACCGATGTGAGTATGATTGTTGTGTCTATGTTAAGAGCCTTGATGATAGTTCTTTTATTTTTCTATTACTGTATGTTGATGATATATTGATTGCTGCGAAGAACATGGATGATGTTATCGGTTTGAAAACTTTATTGAGTCAGGAATTTGATATGAAAGATTTAGGTGCTGCAAAGAAAATTCTTGGAATGGAAATTTGCAGGGACAGAGACTCAAGGAAACTGCGGCTATCTCAACGGGGTTATGTTGAGAAAATGCTAGAAAGGTTTGTGATGAGCGGCGCGAAACCAGTTAGCACTCCATTGGTGAATCACTTTAAGCTCTCATCAGAACAGTGTCCTAAGACAGATAAGGAAGCTGAAGATATGGCAAAGGTTCCGTATTCTAATGATGTTGGCTGCTTGATGTATGCGATGGTATGTACTCGTCCTGATTTAGCTCATGCTGTTAGTCAAGTTTGTAAGTACATGTCTAAACCTGGTAAGCAACATTGGGAAACAGTCAAGTGGATCTTTCGGTACTTAAAGGGTACTGTGGGACATGGAATTATTTTTGGGAGTCAGCGGGATAATCCTTTGGTTGTAGGATATGTGGATTCAGACTATGAAGGTGACTTGTATAATAGAAGATCTACGACAGGGTATGTCTTTACTCTTGGTGGAGGGCCTATTTGTTGGAAGTCTACTGTTCAATCTGTTGTGGCTCTATCTACAACTAAAGCTGAGTACATGGCAGTGGCTGAAGCTGCAAAAGAAGCTTTATGGCTTACTGGTTTAGTGAAGGAGTTGGGTGTTCAACAAGGTGGAGTTCAGTTGCTTTGTGATAATCAAAGTGCTATTCACTTGGCTAAGAATCAGGTGTATCGTGCTAGAACTAAACATATTGATGTAAGGTTTCACAAGATCAGAGAGTTGGTTGCATTTGGAGAGGTTTTGTTTCAGAAGGTACATGCTGATGAGAATGCCATTGATATGTTCACCAAGCCAGTTACGACAGACAAGTTCAAGCATTGCTTGGACTTGTTGAATGTTTTGAGTTGTTAAAGAAGCAAGGTAACCCAACCCACATTGAAGTTTCCAAGGGGCAGGATATTCGCCAAGGTGGAGATTTGTTAGGTATGGCTCAAAAATATACCAGTAAAGAGGACAGAATCAACTGTCCTTACAAAGAAAGTGTCGTTGTGGGGTTACGAATTATGTGGGTTGGGGGTGTGGGGGCGCAGCCCCCGCGGTACGGTACATGGTTGATTTTGTAATTATGTACCAGTGTTTTCTATTATAAATAGAGATGTAACCTAGACCTAAAAACATCATTGAATAAAACTTATAGCGCCGCCTAGGCACCGAGGACGTAAGCACATTGCCGAACCTCGTAAAATTCTCGTGTTCTTTTGTTTTCTTTACCCGTTTTCGTCAACAGTATCGAACGAGTAATTTTTAATGGTCTCTTCTGATAATTTTTGTGTTTCAGATGATAGAATTTAGCATCTATAGCCCTAATATGTCGTCCACAAGCTCCAAGGTTCCCTGTAACAACAAAGACAATGTTCTTCGCCTCAAAGTGATTGCCCTTATCAAGTTCTCTATATATCGAATGGCACTTCTTCTACCGGGGTCTTGGTGGAGGATGTCTTGCACTTAACCACTGATGAGGATAAAACCAGAGCCGTTCAAGCTAATATTACTTTCGGGTTTGTAAATTTTAGTTCCCTTTCCATTTAGAAAAAATAAATAAATTAGTTATTCCCATATATAATGGGTAAGAGGAGGTAAAATAGTAGGCTGCCCCCAACACCAAGTTGAGAGTAATTTCGACCTCCAAATTATGAAATACCCTCCGTAAGACTCGATCCCATGACTCCAAGGTTAAGAACCTTGTGCTCTATCAACTGAGCAGAATGATCATTTATGCATTTCCATTTAGAAACATAATTGTAAATGCCGGAATTCTACTTGGCTGTCTTGGAAAATAACTTCTTGTTTCCCTTGTGATTGATTTGGATGTTGTACTCAATCGCAGTTGTGGGCAGGTTCAGACTGGGTCATTCTTAAATGGTGCTGCTCCTAATGGTCTTTTCGGGCTTGGTTTGGACAATATATCAGTTCCTAGCATCTTAGCAAAAGAAAACATTGCTCCGAAATCTTTTTCTATGTGTTTCGGACGTGATGGCGTTGGAAGAATCACTTTTGGTGATAGGGGAAGCTCAGATCAAGGAGAAATGCCGTTTAATCTCCGGCAACGACAGTGAGTGGCTACTTTTTTTTTTCTGATTGCGTCGATGATGATAATGATTTTTTAGCGCAACATTCAGCCTTAGAAATGATTCTGATTTTGGTTTTCTCTGATCTCTTCTTGATATTCATTTTCAGCCCCAGCTTATACACTTATATCCGAGAGTGTAAGTAGTTTAAATCACATATTCCATGTTGCTTCCTCAGTTCCCTTTTCTTCCCATGTAAGTATTTTTCATCGTGTTGTGTGACAGTTCAACAATTTGGCCATAGAGAATCGGCATACATTGTCTAATTCTTCCGACCTTCCCTTTGAATATTGTTATGACCTGAGGTATAATCTATTTGTTTAGACCTACAGAAAAGGACTTTTGTTTTATGCCTGAGGCCCAAGGCACTGACTTCAGCTTTCACCTTGCAGTGCAAATCAAAGCAGCTTTAAGTACCCTGTAATGAATCTGACTATGAGAGGTGGAGATTACTTCTTTGTTAATGATCCAATTGTAGTGATTCCCTTGCAGGTGAAGAATGTACGTTTAGATTCTATTAGATGCACTTGACTTGGCTTGAAAGTTAATCTTTTCTTTCCGGTTTCCAGGCTGGAGATGTATACTGTTTAGGTGTTGTGAAAAGTGACAATGTGGATATCATTGGGCGTAAGTATCTTCCGGCAGTTCTTATGTGCTTACTCGATAACAAATTTGGGTCATTGGCACTAAGAGTCTAGTATTATATCAACATACAGCATGGCCCAGTAGAGCACTGCATTTGTAATTTGTTATAATGAATTCCATCTCTCTCTGGGATACAACTTCTGATAACAGTGAACAATTGATAATCAGAGAATATAACTTCTTACACTTTTTTTTCTTCTTTTGTTTCATGGAAACCAGAAAATTTCATGACCGGTTATCGTATAGTTCTTGATCGCGAGAAGATGGTACTGGGCTGGATACCATCAGACTGTGAGTAACTTATGTTTGTTTTCCTCTGCATTTTATGCTGGTCCGGTCGACCATCTCTTAAATTCGTGACAATGGATTTCAACAGGTTATGATAAAGAGACCTCAAAAACATTACCGGTGAAGCCGTCAAATGCCTTCCCTCCTGCCATTGCTGTCAATCCGGAAGCCACAGCAGGGAATAGTAACGGTACCAACAATTCAGGGGCACCACCATCCATTACAAATCCGTCAACCCGCCTCAAAACCTTGTTTTACACTTTCACACTTGCTCTCATTCCATTTTTTGCTTTGATTTGATCGAATTATTTATACCGGACCTTGTACCGTACGTACTTCTATAGGTATACAGAGCAAAGGGAAGCATGCTTGGCTTTTATTTTGTTTCCCTTTCATACACAGGGTTGTATATATGTATTGATTTTGTGATACAGTTGATTATATTACAGCATTTCTTACATTTCTTTAAATACAAAACTTGGAGTCCATGTTTTACAAAACTTTGTTGAGAATCCTTTTCAACTGCCCTCTTAGAAAAGGGGGAAAGAAGTTTGAAATGAACAAAGGCTTTGTGGAGGGATAATTTGCGGGGGATTGATTACACATGAACGTAGCTACGTTCATGTGACTAATAATTTAAGGCCCTAATTAACAAACATGGCACCCACTCTGTTGGAGCTGCCGGTCAATTTCTTCCAAAATGCGTTGCACGTTTACCATGACTTGTGAATTTATGTACTAAAGTTGCTCATTATTGTACCTGTCCAAGGTCATCTGTTAAAAGTCTCATTTATGTACATGAACCTTGTTAAAATATCTATTTAAAATATGAACTTCACTCAATTAACGTTGGATCAGACCTTTGTGGATTTTATTGAATATTATTTATTATTTTTATAATATATGAAAATTAAATATAAATATTAAAAAATACATTATCTATGTGAAGATGGACATCAAACTAAGCACAACGCTTTACATCATGGAAAATTAAGTGCCTCTTCCTGTGACCTGTGACACATCAGTTACCTCTAATGGTGCAGAACCAGAGACATGCCGTCCTAATTGTCTACCTTTCGATATATTAAAAAGAACTAAAAGTTAGATTTATATTTTAATCGGGACTTGAATTGAATAATGTTTTGGAGGGTTAAAAATTTCCGCCGCTAATTTCGTTGATGCCTTTAGAGGAAAATTCATGCTATATATCATCGTCAAATACTAAAATCCGTAGATTATGGAGAATCTGTGGGGCTTTTAGCCACTTAATACGGTTGGTCTTTATTTGGAAGAAAATTGAGTTACCCAAAGCTAATAAATGCTTCTCAAACGAACTCTGCAAAACGATAACGGTCCACCGCTGGCAGATCCCTCCCATGTATCGCCGGGAGAACCACCAGATTAAGGATGACAAACGAGTATAATTTCGTGGATTCTGTACCGTACATACTTCAATTGGAGCGGAGATGTATATAATTTTAGTGGATAGTGGACGGATGTGGATTTAGAAAGTGGTACCCGTTGCGGGTGATGAGTTTGAAATCTTATCTTACCCGCCCCGCATCCGCCCGCCCAGCATCCGCTCGCCCACTAAATACCTATTAAATTTTATACCATTATAAATTTAGGTATAATTTTAGAGTTTGTCAATTATGTGTGCCAAAGAACAAAAATATTATGTGTTTGTCATTTATGTTTATAAGTTTTAATTATGTCTTTTATTATAGTGTTTTATGTACTTTAAGATGTTAACATTTAACTCAGATAATCCTTGATTTATTTTATTATGTTTTTTAATGGACGTGTTTGTTTTATGTTTGTTGCTTATGTATAACTTAAGGTTGTCGTAAGGCGGGTCTAGACGATTATGTCTCCAGTTGAGTAGTGGGTGTGATGATGGATTTGAAAATGTACTTGCGTGGGTGGGTGTGGATTTGAAAAATTTTATCAATCATGAATGATGGGCAGGTGATGGTTTTGAAAATATTAAGTAGATATGGGGATGGGGGAGGGATATCCGCACTCCAACTCGCCCGTTTATCATCCCTACACCTACACCAAATATGGTTTTTGATGCTTCTGAGATGGAAGGAATAACTGTAGAAATTCCTAACGCTTTGGAGAGACCTGGTTCGCCAATTGAGAATGCTCGGGTGTTAAAGAAAGGAAGGAATGACAATTGTGTTACTGTCACGGAAGCTGTTAATAATCTAATGGTAGCCGAGACTACTGGTGGGATTAGTATGGACAAAGTGTCGTACGCAGGCGTGGTATCGGGGGGATCTACGTAGACTAGGGTTTCGGAAGATACTCCGAGTTTGGATGAAGTCTTCTTGGCAGAAGGCAAAGTTACAGTTGATACTAGTGGACCAATCCCTTCTGTGGATTTTTCGAAGAAGGTTCATGAGCGGATTGATCATAGTATGCGTAGGTCGGTTATTGTCCATTTTCTTGGACGTAGGATTTGTTATAGAACCCTGCTGGATCGGATCAATCAACTATGGAAACCAAAGTGACAATTTCAGGTAATGAATCTCGATAGTGATTACTATATTGTGATTTTCGTGAATGAAAAAGACTATACAAGGGTCCTCACAGATGGTCTGTGGACGGATTATGGAAGTTATTTATCAGTTCAACCGTGGAGTAGAACTTTCTCCATGGTGAGAGGTTTCCTTCGCAAGTAATTGTCTGGGTGTGTATTCCTAAACTACCCTATCTATATTATTCAAAGGCTCTCTTTTGGTATATTACTGATTTTATTGGGAAGGTTGTCAAGATCGATTATAAGACTTACGCAGGTGATCGTGGAAGGTTCGCTAGGTTAGCAGTTATGGTTAACCTGAACAAACCTCTCATCCCGAGTATTCGGATTGATGGTATTGTCAGACAGCTTGAATACGAGGTTCTTCAACAGATTTACTGTAATTGTGGAACTTGGACAAGCTCGGACATTTGCAGCCCCCCAGAGACTGAGTCAGCTAAGGAGGTCCCGATGAATGCTGAAGTTCAGGATGGTCGTGATACTCGGACAGAAGGGAATCGATTTACGGTCTCTGGATGGTAGCAGCAAGTAAAAATCATGTGCCACGGAAGACTTTTGAAACCCATGATAAAGAAAAACAAAAGGTAGGTACCACGACAGGATCTCGTTTTCAAATGTTAGAGACAATTGAGAATGAAACTAGTGGAGTAAGTGTGGAAGCACCGACGCCGGCAGTCCCGGTTACTGTGACTGAGCAGGTTTTTAACAAGAACACTTTCAATAATTATCCTACTTTGTATACAGGAAACTCAAGTTCTCCTAGCTCTTCTAAGGTACCTCAATCGGTAGAAGGGAGCCAGCCACGGTACACTAAGAGCCAAACTATTGTTGTTCTCTCGAAAAATACTAAGAATATTTTGGCTACCTCTAGCGAAAAATCAGTTGGCAATGGGCATCATGCGACAGTTAAAATTGTGGAAAATAGAGGAATTAAGACTCGGGGAGATAATCAGCAAGGGACATAGAAGTTTGGGAGCAATCTCAAAGGCGTTTCAAATGTTAGTCAGAAAAGTGACTGAATCACGATCTCTTATTGCTCCACTACTGTCGGAGTGGTTCAACGCTCTTGATCAAACGAGTAGAAATTCTACCGCGCCTCAGGATCCGGGAGGGTCGTCATCTCCTCATAGTGATCATTGGGCCACAGTTGCTATTTCTAATAATGTTGACATGGTCATGAAGGATATCATCAACCAGGTCAGCTTAGGGAATTTGGTGAATAAAAGGGGACATGATGCTCTTGCTGGCCCTTTGAAACAATAAGGTTTTTAGCTTTTCTCATACTTTTAGATGATTAATTTCTTCTTTCGGAACTGTCAAGGGGCTGCTACCTCACGTTCAAATGATATTTTCACGATTTCTGTAAGCAACATTAACCCAAAATGGTGGCGCTTTTTGAGCCATGTATTAGTGGTGCGAAGGCGGATCAAGTCATTTCGAGTTTGGGTTATGATCGATCCTTTCAGGTGGAGGCTGATGGTTTTAGCGGAGGCATTTGGGTTATGTGGTCGAACTCCATGGAGGTTGATATTTTGAAAATTTCCAAGCAATTTGTTCACGGTTGCGCAGGGGAAGAAGGGTTGAATCAGTGGATTTTCTTTACGGCTATTTATGCCAGTCCAAACATTTCAAAACGACATTGTGTTTGGGATCTTCTTGCTCAATTGAATCCTAGTAGCACGGAGGCTTGGGTGTTTGGAGGAGATTTCAACTCTACTATTCGTCGAGAGGAGAACACAGGGAGTGTCGGCCGTGGCAATGACATTAGTCGACTGTTTCAAGATTTTATTTTTGAAATGGAACTCTTGACGGTGGAAATAAAGGGTGCTTCGTTTACCTGGAAGCGTGGAAATCTTTGGAAGAGGTTCGATAGGTGCCTAGTGAATGATAAATAGGCCAATTTATTTCCCCAAACAATTGTCACGCATCTTGATTGTGTTGGCTCCGATCATTGTCCTCTGTTATTGCATGCCCCGAATTTGAGTGGTCCTCAGCTGCTAGTCCTTTTCATTTTATTGTAGCATGGTAAGACTAGGGCTATAAATGAGACCAGACAGATCGCGAGCTACTCGAGATTAACTCGATTAAGGCTCGATAAATACTCGGATCGAATGGACTTGACTCGAGCTCGAGCTCGACTCGAGTTCTAAACGAGCCGAAACGAGCTACTCGATATTCGACTCGAAAAGCTCGTGAGCAGCTCGAAAAAAAATATTATATTATAATTTTAGATTTTTTAAAATTACATTATTAAAAATACATTATTGATAATTATAAAATTTTAAAAGTATATTAAAAATTCTATAATACAACTACCCTCAAATTTTAATTTTTTTAATTAACCAGACCAAGTCCAATTGTTACATTGTATATTACTAAAAGAAAAATAAAGCCCATTTAATTAAGCACATGTTTGATTTCACGTGTTTGGTTGATTTTTTCTTTCTTTTTTAACTTTTTACTGCACATGTACTTGATAACGTAGAAAAATAAAATAAAAAAAGAAAAAACAGCCAAACAATAAAAAAATTGAAAATGGTTAAAAATATTTTTGAATAAATATTCTTATATTTATTTTAAATTAATAAAAAATTATTTATCTAATGACAAATATTTAATATATTTATAATGATAATATTTTTAATAACTAAATTTTTAAATTGTTGTTATTTTTTGAGGTTCCGGATTCAAATATCATAAATATCAAGGGTTTGAGCATTTAATATCAAAATACTATATTGTACTTATCTCATAACTAGTTTTTTATTTGACAATAAATATATATAAAAATAATAAAATAAAAATATTATTAAATTTAAATATTAATA